AGAGAGAGAGAGAGAGAGAGAGAGAGAGAGAGAGAGAGAGAGAGAGAGAGACTCTAGTTGAACAGCTAGTCAATTCGCAGTTATCGAGGTCGATGTCAGGTCGTGATCTGTTTGGTAACTGACCACCTTTAAGAAGTGGTAGACCACCTTCAAGAAGTGTCAACCTTCACGAAGTGCCAAACAGTCGGCGGTCAGAGGACTCCAGTGCCAAAAGCATTCTTAGGGGACCTTGCGGTTGTGTTCAGAACATATTGGCGTAGCACTAGATGCTCACCAAGCAGGACCTTCTACCCGGTATGGATCTTTGAGAGCAGAGTTTCGCACTCCACCGTGAGATCTACGTCGGATAGGTGGACCTGCCATCCTACCGCTGTTAGCTGTAGTCATCTTGAGGGAGTCGATGAGGTAAGGAACCGACAAAGAAAACTCTCAGTGGACTTTGCTGCCGTGTTTTTGGAACTTATTGGCGTAGCACTAGATGCTCACCAAGGAGTTCTGGATGTCGGTCATATCGACAAATCATAAGATGCCTACCAAGCAAGCAGCGGCTGCTTGCAGGACCTTCTACCCGGTATGGATCTTTGAGAGCAGAGTTTCGCACTCCACCGTGAGATCCACATCGGATAGGTGGACCTGCCATCCTACTGCTGTCAGCTGTAGCCATCTTGAGGGAGTCGACGAGGTGAGGACCTGGCAAAGAACATTGTCAGGGGACTTTGGTGTTGTGTTTGGAACATATTGGTGTAGCACTAGATGCTCACTAAGCAGTTCTGGATGTCTGTCATATCGAGACATCATAAGATGCCTTACAAGCAAGCATCGGCTGCTTGAAGGACCTTCTACCCGGTGTGGATCTTTGAGAGCAGAGTTTCGCACTCCACCGTGAGATCCACATCGGGTAGGCGGACCTGCCATCCTACCGCTGTTGGTTGTAGTCATCTTGAGAGTCGATGTGGTGAGGACCCGACAAAGAACACTCTTAGGGGACTTTGCTGCCGTATTTGGAACTCATTGGCATAGCACTAGATGCTCACCAAGCAGTTCTGGATGTCGGTTATATCGACACATCATAAGATGCCTTACAAGCAAGCAGCGGCTGCTTGCAGGAACTTCTATCCGGTGTGGATCTTTGAGAGTAGAGTTTCGCACTCCACCGTGAGATCCACATCCGATAGGCGGACCTACCATCCTACCACTGTTGGTTGTAGTCATCTTGAGAGTCGATGAGGTGAGGACCCGACGATGTTCCAATTGGGACATGCTCTTGTTTCGTGATGTGCAGGTGCTTACAGGCGGTGTGTTCGATCCCCTCCTCGACGTGAAGCAAAGTGCGAGGGAATTGCTCAGGGCTCACACCTGAAGTGTGATTGAACTCGCACTTTGATGGAGAAGCAGTTGCGCAATCCATCAGCACGATGATTTAATATGGACATTGGCTTGTCATTTCTATATCACAGGTTGAAAACGCCATCAAATCTTTCTGTGTAGAAGATTCATATCCATTCATACAAGTATCTCTTGTCATCGCAAACATCGAGATGAATAAACATCGAGGTGAAAACATCTCAAGTTGCGCACTGTTTTTCCAAAGGTGAAGTCTCAGAGCAGACGATCAGTTTGTAGAAACCATTCTATGCAGAAATTTCATTCAAGGGCAAATTGCAAAGCACAGAGACTTTCTAAATTGAACGCAAAATATCATACAATGCCGCATTGCAAAGGGCACGGAGGCTTTCCAAAAATCACAAAGTACATGGAGCCAAAGTGTGAATATGTTCTTATTTCCCATATGGAACCAACAATTCAATCACAAATGCACGGCATCCAAAGTGCGAATATGTTCGCATTTCTCATACGGAAACAACAGCCAGCATCCTGTGGAGAGCACGAGATGTATTCCGGGGATAACAAAATTGATAATCATTTAGTGCACCGCTGAATCCGTTAAACAACTTCAAGCACAAGTAAAATTGCAAAGCACACAGAGACATCGCAAACATCGAGGTGAAAACATCTCAAGTTGCCTAGTGTTTTTCCAAAGGTGAAGTCTCACAACACACGAAAAGGTACCAGCAACCATTCAATGCAGAAAATTCATTCGAGGGCAAATTGCAAAGCACACATAGATGTTTCAAAAAGTCATTGAACGCGAAATATCATACAATCCCACATTGCAAAGTGCACGGAGGCTTTCCAAATATCACAAAGTACATGGAGCCAAAGTGCGAATATGTTCTCATTTGTCACATGGAACCAACAGTTCAATCACAAATGTACGGCATCCGAAGTGCGAATATGTTTGCATTTCTCATACGGAAACAACAACCATCATTCCGTGGAGAGCACGAGATGTATTCCGGGGATAAAAAAATTGGTGATCACTCAGTGCACCGCTGAATCCGTAAAACAACTTCAAGCACACATACATTCTGGCGAGAATTGGTTTCCGAATGGAGAACAAGTTCGCAACTGTCATAAGGAACCAAAATACATCATTCAATCGAGACAAGCAGAGGGGGTGAATCGTAAAACGGGGAAGCACACGCAGAAAAAGGACGAGCCAAAACATATGAAAGCTGGGTGGTCAGGGTGGGGTGGGGGCGAGGGGCTTTCACACCACAAAGTCTCGCGAACGAAAGAGATAAGCACGAAACAATTTAGTGACCAAGAATAAATCGTCGATATCTTTCACATGAGTAAAAGAGGAGCAGAACCTCGAAACGAACAAACGCAGCACGGTGCTGCCGCGGTCTGAGAGGACATAAGGAGAACAACCCGAAAATAAACAAAAAGAGCACAAAGTTGGGATATTCACATCCAATATGTAAGCGTCTACTTAAAAGGAACTGCACTACGTGGCTGGGATATTTACATCAGTATCTAAGCATCTACTTCACGTAAGCGTAAACAAAAGGAACACAAAGTTGGGATATTCACATCCGATATGTAAGCGTCTACTTAAAAGGAACTGCACCACGTGCCTGAGATATTTACATCGGCATCTGAGCTTCTACTTCACGTAAGCGTCCGCTGCTACCCTCTAGCTGATGTTGCGCGGCAAGCAATGAGAACAACCCGAAAACAAACAAAGGAAGCACGGCGCTGCCGAAAGTCCTACGAGTAAAGATGACAGGTTCCACGAAATGAAGAACCCTTAAAAAATTGATACAGCACGAGGCTGGGATATTCACATCGACACCTAAGCCTGTACTTGACCAAAACGTCCACTGCAATCCGGCACCTCATGAGAACAACAGCACAGCTCGAACCGGCTGACTGCTAGATCAAGTGGGAATAGATTCGCACTTCTGCTTATGGCATTTCGAAAAAAAAAACTACGCGTATTTTTACAACAGTGGTATCATTCAGCGCCTTAGAGTATGTCCACCGCAATCCTCAGCCGGATGTTTGGAATGTCGCTTTGGTCTATCGGAAATGGTGGCGGACAGCCGCATGTAAGAAATGAAGCGAAGGCGAGCATGAAAACACCGCAGCTCGACCCGTCCGATTGTTGAGGGACACCACGAACAACCACCTTGGGCTCCTTGAGATCCACCTTCGTTTTTGGACCATAATGACAAACTGTTTCGTCACGGAGGTATTGCGTGAAGTTCGCAATCACATCGGAAGAAAAACCGTCATTGCCTTGTACGAGGGAGTCGTAGTACTCCAGCCGTTATTCTCGGAGACACAATAAGGTCCAATGCACTCCATGTTTATGGGCAGGAATCAAGACCATCTCGTGCGAAAAAATATCCACATCTTTTGTCCATCTCGCAACCCTATCATGTCGATAGCCGCCACGGACGAGCTTGGTATAGAAAAATGGACTGAAAATGTAAAGAGAGGGACACCCAGGTAACGCAGCGTTGGCAAGCAAGGCCAAGTACGACTCCACCACCTCGTCGGAAAGCCATTCCCCCTGAACAAGAGTTTGAAGACTTTTTCTGCTCAACGGAATTGAACTGACCCCTTTGCGAACCGAGCACACCACCTCGTGGCCGTTGCAGAAATCTCCACAGACGTTCCGCAACATTCTCAAGTCCGTAGCGCTAAGCTCCTCAGTAGGCAACGGAACGCGAAAACATGATTTAGCCCCAGCTGCACAAACACCCACGAACAAGTGTGAGGAGTGAGCACAAACCCCGTGGTGGAATGACTAAGAACTATCTGCCCTTTTCCCAAAAAAGTTGTATCCCCGCTTGTTGAATGTGTCCTTCGCGATGTACTTAAGACACGGGTCTTTCAAGACACCCCGTTTGCCATCGTCATCAGACCCGTCAGACAAAGCAGTAACGCTCTCAATAGACGCAGCCAAATGTTTCCGCAGACCTTCCTCCTTGTCTATTCCACAATCCTTCAGAACCCTGACAACTCTCTGGGAAAGGCGAGGCATCTGGACCCTTTTAAACAACCCTACACTTGACGACTTCTTCGGTGAAGCGGCCAATGACCTCCCTGAAAGACGTTTCTCGCGCACGGCTTTTAAAGACTTCATGGGCAGGGACATTAACAACCTCACACCTGTAGAACATAGAAAACAACCCACAACCTACAAGCTTTTTTGTAACTAGTGGTAACCGGTATATTAGCCCATGACATCAATTTGGACGAATACAGAGCTGGTCAGTGACAGATATGCGAGTGGTCCTATTCACAAATCTTACCGTGCTCGAGAGCCCTTTGAGGAAACTCGCCCTCCTGTCGCGCCACTGCGCCAACGTCCACGGACGATTCGAGGTTCTGGACCTCGGCCCCGGCTGTGTGGCTAACCATCTCGGTGGCAGCTAAGTCGCTTGGCAAGTCGATGGGTTCATGAAGCACCATTTCCTGACCGGTACTGAGGACAGATGCTCGATCACCCTGTTTGGCACCGCAACAGGTGGACGGAGAATCATGATCTTTCCGTTCTGGATCCATCTTGATGCTGACGGCCACCTCACCGCCTTCCACAGAGGATTCGACGTTCTGCATCTCGGCCACACCTTAGTCGCTAACCAGCTCGGTGGCTGCCGAGTCGTCACCCAAGTGACCCAACTCTATAGCTTCGTGAAGCACCATTCCCCGAGCGGTGCTCAGGACAGACACTCGACCACCCTGTTCTTCACCGCAACGGGTGGGCGAAGAATCACCATCTTTCCGCTGTGGATCCGTCCGGATGTCGACAGTCACCTCATCGCCTTCCACCACGGGTTCTTCGCCTTTCTCATCGCCATGAACCCGAGCTTCCACCGCGGGTTCTTCTTCGTCTTCATCGTCGCCAAGAACGGGAGCTTGCACGGACGTCCACTTACCTTCCTTAACGACACCCTCTCGCGTTGTGGCCACAACCGAGCGACTGTGCAGAACCTCTTCGGACATCCCGATCACCAGCGCTCGTGTGTGGAGCCACTTCACGTCTTCACGAGCCGGCCCGTGTCGAGTCTCCTCTCCCCGCTGTACAGCATGCGTTTCCCCCGGAGCTCCTGCACTCTCGCTGTCAGTGTCCACGGGCACACCCTCCAAAGCATGACGTTCACACTCGCCACCCCCGGTCTCCAACACTTTGCGAGACTGCCAGCGTTGAGTCTCCTCTTCCCGATGTACAACACGCGTTCCCGGAGAGCGCTCGTCTTCCCCAAGAGTGTGACGTTCGTTCTCGCTACCCCCGGTCTCCAACACTCCTGGAGCGGGCCCCTCCAGCACGTCGCGAGACCGCCAGTCTCGAGTCTCAACACATGAGAAAGGAGGCGAGCAGGGTAACCCTGTGTCCAACTGAAGATGCGGGGGCCGGGACGTCACATTTTCTTGTCCCCGCGGAACTGTTGCGTGAGGAGCACTTATGGCGTAGGGCGACGACAGCAAATCCGAATGTATTCGGAGTTTGTGGCGGTCGCCCGAGCATAGGGAACCGGAGGTCGCACCTTCGCTCCATCGCAATGCAGGCATCCCGCCCTCCAGGCAAAACGAAGACGCGCCCTCTTTCAGGAGCAAGGTGTTGAGCACAGGAGACCTCTGCTGCGCATGGCGGGATGAACTCTCCTGGGCAACGGGAAACAAACTCCTCGCATACAAGTGCGAATCTACTCGCACTTGATTAGACGCCAGGGTGGCCTCGTCTCGCATGTCAAAATCTCGACTCCCTACGCAGTGGGGGTTAGTTTCCATATACTAGGGACTCCCAGACGTTCTACGCTTCCCGCCCGACCCCTTTCCGCCCGACCCCTTCCCGCCCGACCCCTTTCCGACCGACCCCTTTCCGCTGGACGCCTTCTCAACCGACGATGTCTCGCCTGTCCCCTTTTCGGCAAACTGTGAGCCGTCTCCTCCGCCACCTCCGCCGTCTCCTTCGTCTCCTCCACCACCCCCTCCCGGATGCTGACCGGCCGGCGGAGGTTGCGGAATGCGCCAGTCAATGCCACGAGACGGTACCGTTTCGAGTGCGTAGAAAGGCGCTCGAAACTCCAACATGTTGTTGGCGTACAACTCATGTAGCTTTTGTTCTGCATACGCATCGACGTCCTGATCGTTCCTCTCGGGGTTCATGAGACTCAAATGCTCCACCAGAGCAGTTCTTGCCTTTCTCTTAAATGCACACGCTCCCAGTCTCTTCAGTCCACTCCACTTGCCATCGGCCTCCTTTATTGCCATGACCTATATTCCATTCCTCACAGCAGGTTGGAATATCCTCGGGTGCCAGACGACGTTGTGTCCCTAGACATCCTCCGACGTGAACCGGTGATGCTTGCCGAAGAAGTAGAGTCTGTCATTCTGCCAGGTGTCATGGTCCACAGGGATCCTGTCACAAGGTTCGTGATCGTAGTCTCTCTCTTCCTCCCCGTCATCAGACGATTGGTCGTCGACTGGTTCGCCCCGAAACACACGCTTCAAACCGGCAGGGGACGTGCTATATCTTCAAGGGCCACCTTCCTCTTCATCACCAACCTGTCCAACCACCCGAGGAAGTGGCATGGACTCGAAATCGAAGGTTTCGGAGTCGCTCAACTCCTCCATGTCTTCAGCGTCGAAAGGGTCCTCCTCGTCAAACTGTGACTTGTAGTTTTCGAGAGTGAGCGGTTCGGCCAGCGTGAAGTAAATGTGCTCCAACCTTCTCAGGAAGTGCGAGACAGACTCCCTGGGTGCACCGTGGTACCCATTGAGCACAGCGAACACCAGGTTTCTCCGTCGACTGTATTCGAGGTCGGTTGGACCAGGCGGTCCGAGTCCGAAAAGGAAGTCCCAAACGTCCGTCCTTTTGTTCCCCGGCAATTTCCAATACATGTCACGTTTGGGATCCCAGTTTCGTTCGTCGGTGGTGCGGGTAAACTCGCAAGCATTGCGAGTGTCTGCAACGCGTGCCTTCACGAACTCCTAGTTTGTGCTGACGCTTCAGATGGACGCCCGCGGATTGCACGAACACTCCCCTTAGCGTGAGAATGTCGTCAAGGATCGACAGTTTCTCGGCATCGGTCCTGTCGACGAGATACTGCCAACAGAACATGTCTGGCTCCTTCACGACCACGAAAAACTTGTCGTCCGCTTGCGTTTTCTTTTTGGTCGGAGGCGGCGGAACCCGGACCAGCCACCCCATCTTCGTTTCACCAGCCGCCCCTTTCGAGCCCATTTCCGGAATTTCTTGCAGACCGGAAGATTTGTCTGGCATGTATTTGCCCGGCCTCAACAATGGCGTCTTGCCGTCGCCGCCAAACAACTTCCCCTCCGCCCATTTCGCGTAGAATTCCATGGCTTTGCGGAAAACGTCGTCACCGGCCGTCACGAGCGGCATCCACTGCCTCAATGCATTGCCAACTGCAGCGACATACTCCTTGTCGGCGAGCGACGAATCTTTTTGTGCCAACGTCCAGTGAGCTCCGTTCAGACTCTTTCCCAAAATCAACTTTTGGAAATCGAAGAACTTTTGTTTTTCGGCCTCCTTGCCGGAAGGGTTCCCTTGAATGGCCACCGGCCTTCCTTCATTCTCCCATTCCTCCCGCATCTCCAAGAACGCGGCCTTCAGCGATCGCTGCTTAGACATCTTGTGTCTCGTGTTCTCGTTGAGACTGACCTGCCTATACCCCGCGAAATCTCGGTCGGAGAACCACACTACTCTCGCCGGCCATGAGTGCATCTTCCACAAATTGAATATTGGCTCACCCTCCAACTCCTTCACAGCAGCCACGGTGTGTTGTCCGTTAACAGGGTAATAGTAGTACTTGTCCTTGTCCTCTGGCTTGAAGACATCTTTGTGAACCCTGTCAGCTCTCTCCGGCTTTCGCGTCACCGGCTTGTAGATGGGTGCCAAAACCAGAGGGTTTTTCGTCCAGATCTTCCCCTTTTTCTCGCGAAATTGACTCAGCATCGTACCCTTGATGTCGTCCACAGTTTCACGACTCAGACTGTGGTGGTTGTAATATCTTTCCCAAGCCGGGATCTCGCAGACCTTCCTGGGGTCGATGAGCAGTTGGACGGGAGCTCCTTCTCCACGATTTCACCGACATCGTTCCGCTCGTATTCGAGCCAGAACGTTGCCGCTTCGTCGTACTCCTTACCGACAGGCCCTTTGCCACCGCTCGCCGCCTCAGCAGTCTTCTGCCTTTGAGTTTTCTTCTCGCCATTGCCTTCTTCAGCTGCGACTTTCCGTTTCGATTTCCCCGAAGGTTCTCTCGCGGCCATAGCGCCTGGATCAGCCGAATCTCCTCCACCCCCGGCTTGTCCTTCGCGGATGGTCAAACCGCCAGGCCTCCTCGCTTTCTTACTTGTCGTCCCACCCTCTTCCTTCGTCGGCCTCTTTCCTGAGGCACGTTCTCCGTCGCCACCTCCATCCCTGCCCATCACCGCCTCTGGTTTTCCTCTCATCCTCTTCATGAGGAGGGTTCCTTCCGCCACCTCCTCTCGCACCATCCTCTGCCATTCGCTCTTCTTCTCCGAAGGAGTCTGCTCCCCGCCAGAGCTTTCGCGGACAGCGCCCATCCCTTCAGCCTCATTCCCTCCAACATCTAGCCCCGATCTGCTTGAATCTCTTCTCGTCTCATCTCGAAGCGAATATGTGTCGGCGCCGCAGCGGACCTTGATAAGTTTCGGAGTACCGACCCGTTGAGTCCCTGTACCCAGAGAATGCAAGTCCGACGTATTCCTAGGAGCATCCGGGCCGACCTGCGTGTGAACAATGCGTCCCTTGACCCGACCCCTAGCGTCTTGAATCGGACTCCCGTGCCCCACTGCAGTACCTGGAGTTTCTTGAGCCAAGCCGGATGACCCCTCACGGGGTGGCAGAAGCCGGAAAACATGCCCTTGGCGGAAGAACCGGACGTTCTCTCGGCACCATCAGCGCGAGATCGAGATATTGCTCTCGCGATGGAAGACGCTTGCTGCCGCCATCGTAAAGGCATTTGAAGTGAGAGCACAACGGCATATTCGAGCCGTACCCCGCGAAACTCTTGATGGTCACCAGCACACCTTTAACACCTGTGATAGGCAGTCTGCACTCGTCGTACATGCCGTTCGTGTGCAGCTTGAGCAAACCTCCAGGAGTCTTCGCGCACGAGACGACGGTACCAAGAGGAACAACGTTGACCGCTCCCCCAACGTCTGTAACGCAAGTGGGTCGCATGAAAACAGCTGGCCCAAAAAGGTCCCCCTGAACAACGAAGTCCAAAAACCGTTGTGCTCCCTTTGCGTGCATATACTGAGGAGTAGGTTGTTGTACAGGTCGTCCCTCCCCGGGGGCAGATGGTCCAGCGCTTGTGGATTCACTCTCCATCTCACTCCATCACTGCGCGATCTCTCTCGACAACCGGGCAACCTCCATCCTTGCCCCAAAGGTTCTTCATTACTCGTGCGCGATCCCGCCATCGCCATTGTATTGTTGTTTCAGGCCATCGTCGTTGCAGCCGCCCATCACTGTGGAATCGCACGAAACAAGTGACAGGTATGCTTAACGAAGGTTTAACTCGATGGAACTGATGTTGTGCAATAACAAATCTTGGTCATCGCTGTACCTTCTTTCTCCATCGCTGCGGCATCGCTAACCATTGTTGCGCGTCCTCTCTCCATCTCTCTCCACCGATGCGCAATCTCTACCTACCTTTCGTCATCGATCCCCATCGCTGCGGTATCTTTCTTAATCTATCTCCTTCGTCATCCATCTCCTTCGGTGCGCTATCTTTCCTAATCTATCTCCTTCATCATCTATCTCCATCGCTGCGCTATCTTTCCCAATCAATCTCCATCGTCATCTATCTGCTTCGGTTCACCATCTTTCTCCATTGCTGTGCTATCGCTAACCATCGTTGAGCCTGCTATCTCCATTGCTGCGCCATGTTTCTCCATCAGTGCGCAATCTCTCTCTCTCGCTGCGGCACACCTCCCAATCAGTTCGCGATCTCTTTCCCTTCCTGCGCCATCCACCTTCTTCCTCGGAATATACAACGCACTTTCATTACAGTTGTCTTTAGACTGAAAGATGACTCGAATTCCTGAAAGATGACCCGAATTCAGCTGTAATGACCGGACGTTGTATTCGGGGGAAGACTGTGACTCCATCCATCTCTCTTGGTGCGCCATCTCTCTCATTCGGTGCGCCATCTCTCTCCATGTATTTTCATCGATGCGCTGTCTGCCCATCGCTTCACAATCTTTCTCCATCTTGAAAAATAGCACGCCATCTTTTCCTATTTCTCTCTTGCGACGATCAGTGGCTCGTACTACACGCAGAACAAGCCGGAAACAACTTGCACTTGTACCCGCAGTTTCGTAATGGAAATGCTCGTTTACAAGTGCGAATTCTTTCGCTCTTGAACCAACCAACCCCTTAATTTGTCACTGTTTAGTCCAAAGGTCGGAATTAACTCGCACTTGTACCCCCAGTTTCGTAATGAAAATGCCCGTTTGCAAGTGCGAATTTATGCGCTCTTCAATCAACCATCCCCCTAAATTTCTTACTCTACAGTTCAAAAGTCCCAGTTGCATAGTGGAAATGTTCGTCTACAAGTGCGAATTTATTCGCTCTTCAACCAACCATCCCCCAAATTTTTGAGTCTTTAGTCCACAAGCCCCAGTTTCATAATGGAAATGCTCGTTTGCAAGTGCGAATTTATTCGCTCTTCAACCATCCATCCCCCTAAATTTGTTCCTCTTTAGTCGATAATTCGCGTCTCTTCTTAGCCCAAAAGAATGAAGTCGTTTTGTATTTGCGAGTTTACTCGGCACTGAACCAACCACGAAGCCAATTTCTTATTGCACGGCGTAATCGAAATGTTCCTCTGAAGTGCGAATTTTTTGGCACTTAAAATTTATCGCTGTTTAGTGGATAATACCGAATCGACTCGCACTTGTGTTCGGTATTGTTCCGACCATGAACTTAATTTCTTACTGTACGTTGAATAAGTCCGAATCAACTCGCATTTGTACTCTTGCCTGAAAAAGTGCGAATTTACTCGGACATATCCAAACCACTTGCACACTGAACGAGTGGATGAGGAGTCGGACTTGAGATATCACTTGAGCCTCACATTAGGGTCCGACAAAACGATATGGATTCAAATGTTGTTGTTCCACTGTTTTGTGATAAGTATTTGAAATGTGAGTTTGCTCCCTCTTGTTTATTTCCCTGACCTCGTCATACGTTGACGTGATTTTCTTGTTGTACAGTTTCCGTGTGAATCGTCTCTTCAAATGGCTGTCCAATCCGTCCACTGTGTCACGCCACCGCCACGTCACGACAACACGGAGAAGACGATGTTCGAGAACGTAGTTCTTGTGACAGCAGCCCGGAAGCTCCCTTAGATCAGCATTGCGGTTTGAAAAGGGASTTCTCGATGTTGACCCCGACGAATCATTCAAGCTCGTCTACGACGTCCGTCCGGCGTCGTTTTGTTCGGTTTACCGACGTTCACGATGGTCAGCGCGTATCTACAGCGCTTATCCCCGGTAGTGAGGGTGTTCGGGATGTCGAGACGTTTCCCGGTGGGTGGATGTTCGTGGACACAAATTTCCGTGGTGTGTCCGAAACGACTAGATCAGATCTCGTGCAGACAGCGGGTAGACTGTCAGAAAGCATTGAAGTTACCCAACCCCTAGCATTTGACCACAGTCGGTCGTTGGTGGACACAGACTTCTATGGTACGCCCGATAGAAACGGATCTGATCGGGAACAGTGCGGTGCATTTGGTGGAAACGGGTATGATAGGGACCAGGCAACGGTACGTGCGTGTGGAAGTGCGAAGATAGGTAAGAGAATTGCATGTGAAGCCGGAATAGTTGGCTCTCCGTCGATGACARCGACGGGTGCAATGGAAAATTGGCAGACTGGTTTTGTAGACACAGATTTCTTCAGTTTTGTAGACACAGATTTCTTCAGTTCATCGAAATCCTCCCAATCTGATTTGCCGAGAATCGCTCCCACGGACAGATCGAAATTCCTAGGTGCAGCGCATGGGTCCCCGACCAAAAGCCAACCTGGAACTCCCGAAGCAGCCCTTCAAGTTTTGTCCGATCCCCTACCTGGAGAAAGGAGAAGATATAATCGGAAAAATAGGCCGGTTAGAAGGTCATAGCGTTCGAAGAGGGCCAAAAGTCGATTGAATGAAACTAACATTGCGCTCGTCCCGACGTACAAATGTTGTACGAACAAGTGTCTTCGGGTCTTGACCATTGACGATATCAAACCGGTGCGCGAAGCCTATTACGAAATGTCCCTCGAAAGGAGGATCGAGTGGTGGATGCAAACCCTCGACAATTTCACTATCCTCGACGGCGGTCTGGAAAGAGTCCAACCAGTGCAGTGCAAACGCCGTGTGTGCATCGTCGGTTGGTGCAAAATAATAGGGATATGTCGAAACACATTTCGTCATTATAGCAAGTGCAAGTCGGACGGGGTCGTCCGTGGTCGTCATGGTCGATGGGGATTGTTGAACCCGAGACCGGCGTATGTGAGCATGCTGGCTCGTGTGACAAGGTTCGTGGAAGAACATGGAGATGCTATGCCTAACGAAATGGTTGTGAGGGGGACCTCACAACAACCCAAAGTTAGGCTCCCTGCTTATTTCACGAAGCTCCTTGTATACGAGTCTATCAAGGCAGACTTGGAAGCGGCGGGTCAGACCGTCGTTTCGGAGCAAGTCTTCTACTCCATATGGAGGAAGTACTTGTGGCATGCCGACCTTGCCAAGTCCAACTCGTTCACAAAGTGTGGCGAGTGCGTCCGCCTTAGACAGGCCAGAGACAACGCCTTCCTCCTTCGTGACTGTAGGGATTTCGATGAAAAGCACCGCAAACACCAACTAGATCAGGTCGCTCACCGTGCGGATTACGCTGACTGGAAACTTCGTTCCATTTTGAACCCGGCGGAATACCTCTGCCTTATAGTGGATGGAATGGATCAGAAAAAGACAACCATTCCTCACATCGGCATGTATAATTACTCCAAGGATCATCGACACGACATGATGATGAAAACTAACCTGACCGCGGTCGTAGCTCACGGCAGGAAACCGTCCATTTATGTGTACACGTATTTGCCTTTCTATGCGCACGGTTCCGATGGCACCATGACGTGCGTTATGCAGACTCTATGTGAGTTGCAGGCGTCGGGACAAAAATGGCCACGCCACCTCCGCATCCAGACGGACAATTGCCGGAGGGAAAACAAAAACCAATACCTTATGTGTTTGGCCTCTCTTCTGGTGAAATTCGGGATTTTCGAAGATGTCGAAGTGGAGTTCATGCTCGTTGGCCACACGCATACCGACATAGACGTGACTTTTAGTGTTTTCTCAAAAAAACTGAAGGACAACGATGCTTACACCATGAAGCAGTTGTTCTCGCTTATCGAGTCGTCGCACAAGATACCGCCGAAGTGCATTGAGCTCGATGACATTGCCGATTGGCGCCGGGTAATGGATCGATACGTCGATAGAACCATCGTCGGCGTATCGAAACCGCACCTCTTCAAATTCTTCATGCGTGATGGTAGTCCCGTCATGGTGTACAAGAAGTACTGTAC